TATCGGAGAGAAAAACGTTTTCATGTTTATTCCGAAGAAAATGCTTTCTATGGTAGTAAATCAAAAATTATTGATGGGAACACAATCTATCAGGAATGCAGTATAGCCATTTATTTCTCGTGTGATCAATTCTGAATTTACTGCGCCACTCGACGTGATATAGGTGATCCAAAACTGGCAAACTAATAGAACCACTCTAGTTCCTTGCCAGTTCCATGACAGCTCCAGGATACTACCAGGTCGCTACCATAGCGTCAAGTTGGAACCTCAAATTATGTGTCCAAAAGATCAGCCAAAATTATGGTATAATGTCAGCCAAAATTAAACGCAAATTTACTGCACTATCTGACGCATTTTTTTTTATCACAATTTGGCATTTTAACAGGCAAACAAGCAGGCGCAAAAGGTAAGCATAACAATATAGAACTGAGAACCAAATGCACAGAAGGCCAGCATCCTCAATATAAAACTAGGAACCCAAACAGTTACGGAAGGCCAGCAACCCCCAAAATAGAATTTGACACCCATTCAGGTGTAGGAGATCAATACCAATCAGATATCTATAAGGCAATAAAAAGGCCACAAAGCAATGAAAACAAGCGGATAGCTACAAGGCAATAAAAAGGCCACAGAACACTAAAAACAGTAACTAGGTAACATTATACTCGTAACTAGATAACATTATACTCGTATCTAGATAACATTATAACGCAACTGGATAACACTCTTATAAGAGTGTTATCCAGTATATATTATAAAAAATAATATACTAAGAAATAAGATCATTCAAAAATAAAGATAAACAGATTATATGATTAATATTTAAGTTACCAAACTAACTATATTCTTTGGATAGAGAATATTAAGATCAACCAGTATAAAAATACTAGGATTAATAGCAACAATATTGAGATTTTTAATAATTTAGATATTATTATAATTTTCAACATTTTTATCTATTATAATATAAAAAATAAATTAATAATATTTATATTTAAAAACCTATAGAAAAAAGCTAAACATATCATATATCTAAATAAATATTCAATAATTTAATTTTTTATTAAATAGTAATTTTGAATCTATTAAAACTTTCCTTTCAAGTTTGGCTATTTATCGATGATGTTTATGATGCAATGAAAAAAAAAGAGAATTTTTATCTTTATAATAATTTGTTGATTTAATAATTTTTTTATGGTATAAAAAATGGATATAGAATTTAAGTGATTCATAATGATATTAAAAATGAATAGTAATTATTTGCTGATTATCTTATTTTAATAAAAAATAATAAAAAATTAGTATTGATGATAATGTATTATACTGTAATATATTTATATAACTATTAAATATTTTTATATACATATTTTTTTCTTTGGAAATAAAGACAATATTTTTTATATTTAATTTCATTATTTTGACAAATAACTTAAATTGCATGTGTAATAGCATGGTCAAGCATCTCATATAGATAGTTCTTCATGAAACACCATTTAAGAGTATGTGAAATTTTAAGTTTAAAAAAAGATCGAAACCAAAATTGACAAGTTGATAAATGATTATAGTTGAAATTTGCAATTATCATATTATAAATAAACCTGTATATAATATATAAAGTTAAAAATTACAATCTTTTTAAAAGAAACAATAATGAAGACAAAATACCTTGCACAACTTATCCATTATTTTAACAAAGTTTTTTGTGAGAAATTTGGATACACTCTAACCTTTAGAGATCAAGTTAGATTAGCCTTCTTTTGATGTTTTGAATGGCAAGTTGATTTCAATAGCTTCTTGCATTTCTGTTACTATTATTTTCATTTTTGTCAATATCTACATAGTGTATTAGTTAACTAATATTATTGGATAAATAAAGGATAAATAAATAAATTCTGAACAAATCTTGCTGATCATTTTCTTTGGATGACAAGGATATCTTAACAGAGTTTGATTTCATATTGAAGGAGTTATCTTGTAAGAAAATTAAAAGTCTTGTACCATTGATTTTAAGAAATTATTTGATATTATATGCGAATCAATATAATCAGTTCCTATAGAAGAGTGACCATTTCACAACTTGCTTATTCTAATATAGTTTATAAGCCAGATCTCTTGAAGTTGATATTACTTCTAATGAGTTTGTATTGAAGATACTGTTATTGCCTTTTAAGTTTTTCTTTCTTTTTTATACTTGAAACTTCATAACTTTTTTGCATGATAAAGAAGGTGAAGGAAGAAGAAGAAGTAGAGGAAGTGGTAGTAGTAGTGGTGGTTATATTATTGAATAAGGATTAGAAGTAAACTGTCTGATGTAGACATTTGACCTTCATATGTGATGGAAGGGTAATTCAATGGTTATAAAAACGATAATGTTAATTGTTGATCAAAAGATCTAAACCTGTAAACATAAGTAGATAATGATCTTGCTAACTAGGGTATAAAATTGAAGGGTATTGACTTGAAGTTTGTTCACAAAAGGTTGTAAAGGTGGTTTCACATTCTGAATTTTTTTTTTTGTTTTATATTTATTTTCTTTATAATGAATGCTAGTAAACAAATATTATGTACTAAAGAAAAAGGTTTAGAAACTTTATTTGAGGTAATAGCTTGTCAAGTAGAGTACTTGTGATGCTGTTTATAAAGGGTATCTTTTAAAATAGGATAAATAATGAAAGAATAAAGTTGTAGCTATTAAAGTGTGCTAAACCTGGATACAGAAGATGACGTTGATAATATTATCAAGGAGATAAACTTTTTATCTCATAGTGATTCTCAAAGTATATTGGAAGTTTCTTCATAATACTGTACAAAGTTTTATAATAGGGAACGGTTTCGGAAACCGTTGTTAAGTCCGGAGCACAAGTGTAACGAAAGGGACCAACTCACGTATCGACTCAAATTTGAGCGGGACACCGGGCACAAGACATATATACTGTAAACAGCTGACTAAAGTACATGCCAATAATAAGTTCTGAATATCACCATATTATTTGTATAATTTTAAGGGATTTTTTTTTTAAAATAATATTTTGCAAATTTTATGAAATTTGTGTTGTACCCGGGTATTTTAGTCAGCTGTTTACGGTAGTCCTTCGCTTACGCTCAATGCGAAGTAAATCATATATTTAACGGCGATCAAGAGATCTATTTTTTTTTGGTGTAACTATAATTTGAACCAGCATTGTTCCCAAAAATGGGGGTTTTCGTAAAACTTTTTTTTTTTCGTAGTAATAATGAGTATTTTAAGACGTTTCAAAGCCACTGATTTATTTCGCTTCAATAACGTGTAGGTAAAATTTTTTAGAATGGCACACATTTTATTTTTATGAACCTATAAACTGAGAACTTTTTAATTTTCCTGTAATTAAAGAAATCTCGATGTTTTGACAGAGACGGTAAAATTTTTTTTATTGCTTATTAATTTAATTTATTTTCTCATACTGGCGTATCGCATAAACTTTGATTCCTCAATCGTGACAGTATAATATTCAATTCTATCTTACTTATATGGCGCGTTGGCCAGACCTATTTTGTGTACAAGAGTCTCCTAGTGGTGCCATGATGGGTTACAGTTAAGCTGACCTTTCAGTCATTAAATATACCTCCTTGTTTCGCTTATGCCCCTTTGCTTATCACCACGTTATTGTAGTAATGGGAAAGGCCGAGGGACGTGGTAAAGACTGGCATGGGCACGTTACAGCAATCACTGTTTCTCCAGAATATCGACGTTTAGGGTTAGCGGACGGAATGATGAAATTGTTAGAAGAAGTGTCAGAAAAGATGTCCGTATGATTCTTTTTTTTTTTTTTTATCAATGTTTCGCGTCTGAACAATTCATTTGACGAGTATTTTAATATAGTTATAATGGATACTTTGTCGATTTATTCGTTCGCAAGTCAAATTCTGTTGCGATTGGAATGTACAAGAAGTTTGGATATTGTGTTTATAGATGTGTTACTGGATATTATTCTTCAGGAGACAATCATGAGGAAGATGCATTCGGTACGTTAATTGTTCCTTGATTACGATTATAATATTTTCGATAAAATTTAAAATATATATATGCTTTTTCACTGTTAATAGATATGAGGAAACCTTTATCAAGAGACGTGCATCGAGAGAGCGTGGCTGGGAGTGGGGAACAGAATATCATTAAACCCGAACAATTGTAGAAACGAGAACTTCATAACGTAATATTTATGGTTATAAGTATCTTTCTGAAATTTTCCACACTCCTCGTTTTCGGCAACACCAAATTTGAATCATAAATAAATAATTCAATCACATTAAAGAAAACAGTCAAAACGTCTCTTTTGCCAACACAATAATTAAATGCATCATAACCTCTTACGCGTATGTTACCTCTCTTGGAGAAGGGAACTTTTCTTTTTGCGCTGAAGCTAGATCAGTCATCATTTTCTTTCTCGTTTAAATCATCTTTGATTAGTTCTAAGTCAGTATCTTTCTGCTTAATCTGTATTTTCCTGCACCAATTCTAACTTAAGAGATTTCCATTTTTTTTTTGTCCTGAGCGAAGTGAAAATTTTCGGTCACGTGCGTTTCTCTGTCCGCTCACGTGATTATTAACCTTTTGCATTTCCTAGTAATAAATCCTTACTATAAAATGCGACTAAACGTCTGCGAGAAATATCCTTGTGTTCTGGAATTCATTATCATATATCATATATCACGATAAGATGATTTAATAAATCCTCGCATTTTTGATCGCAATATTTGATTACACCAATTTTGAAAAATAAAATTACTCAAAGTAGATTAAATGTCATTTGGTAAAGTATTATGGTGTGATTTGAAATTTTATTAATTTTATTAGACACTTGTAAAGAAATTATAAAATAAACCTCGATTATTTTCATGTTTTCATGTTTTCATATATCATTCAAAATTCCATCATTCTTACTTTGTTCAACACGCGGTGACAGATATCTACAATATAATTTGTTAACAAATTGTATCAAATTAAAATGTATTTTCTTATATTTAAATGCTAAATATGATCCAAAATAAAAAAAAAAGGATTCCTTACCATCTTTAATAATCCTTTGATCAATTTTTTTAATCCACTTTGTATACCTTCTAACAACCTAACCGTTTATTTTAACTTATAAATTCCACCTTGAAATTCTAACTTATCTTCTTCAACCATTTGATTTAAAAACATTTTTAAATCCTCTAAACTATTATCAATACCATTTGATGAAGATGACGGTTCGGCCACAGAACATAAGACACCATAAATTTTCTCTAATGTCATGCCACCAAGATTTTTTAACATGTTTTCTATATAAACCCAATACATTTTAAATTCTTCGGCTTTTTGCTCTGCTAACGATTGTAAAATATTATTACCACTTTCTTCATTTGATACGAACCCTAAACAAGTGAATTATCGGATAATTTTTAATTATAAATGGGGAGAGAGAGAAAGAGAAAATAATAGCTTGTATATCAACCATTGATTAATTACCTTTATTAGAATTATCTTCGGCAGTTTCTAACAACATCCATTCATCATTCGATGATTCCTTCAAAATACCACGATCACTCCAGAAACTCATCTTGCTTTTCAACATTGAAGGTTCGATTTTGATTTTTTCTGCCAAGTCATTTAAATTCCATTTATCTATTAATAAATAAATAAACATAGGTATTTTTAATAAAATTTAAATTCAAAATCACTTCACAGAATAATAATAAATATTCGTAAATTACCTTGTTGTTGAAAATACTGAATAATTGTAGCATAAATAGGCGAGACTTCAAATTCCAATGTACGATCTTGTAACTCTAATTCTATTTGAACCTTTCCTAGTGATTTTAACCATTGTAACTTTCTTCTTGGTTTAAATACTTGGAATCCTTCATTATATTTAACCATTTCACTAAATATAATTATATAAAAATATATATATATATATATAAATGTTCCAAAAATACAAATATCTATATAGATAAAATTGATTGGTAAAATACGTACTCGGCAATTATTTTTGGTACACCAAAATCATCATCCTTGAGAGTAGGCCAGAATAACCTGGATATTACGATACCGTGCAATATCATCTTTTGATTTGTGTGGTATATTAAAATTTTTTTTTTTTTTTGTAATTCATATAGCATTTAATCAAGTAAAAAATATTTACCTCTTCGGGATCATTTCTTCTAACTGGATTATCATTACTACGAATAAATGAATCAATCCTTTTTGAATCGGCAATGTCTTTAATCATAACCTCGGTTGCAGACATTTTTGCTTCCCCAAATCGAAGTTTAAATAATTCTAGTTTAATAAGCTAGAAACCAAACGTTAATTTAGTATTAATTGATTTATGGACATCTCTTTTTTAAAGAAATCATGTAATCCATATTACCTCCTTCTCTGTGTCATAGTCAGTTTTAGTTAATAAATAAGATGCCATTTGATTTTGAATTTCTTTTGTAATTAATTCTGTAGAATCAAATAAACTAACAAGTAAATTTGTTATATCGGCAGATCGATACATTGATGATTTATAACCTATAAATAAATCACATTAAACGTTAACACGAGACAATCTATCACTAAAATAACAATCAAAAGTGCCAACTAACCTGGGCCAGCATCCATTGGATCCGGTAACCAATTATCAACATTCTGTTGATTATCCATAGGTTCTTCGGTACGGCCCAACTCTTCAATCAATTCATTATTTCCATTTTTATCATCCATCCAATTGCTTACTAAATATCTAGCAGAATCTTCCCGTGTTCTACTTAAAGTGAAGAAAGTTCAAACGACCTATTCCAGCTATCATAATAAAAGATCGTATAAACGGTACCTTAGATAACTTCTAAATGGTCCCGTGATTTTTTCCAAAAGCACACCAGATGGATCTAATAATCTCAAGCACTTTATAGTAGAAATATATGTATTAATTATGTCCATTGTACCAGCTCCCGGGATTAACAATCTTTTACGAAACCTACAAATGAAATGAATTAGTTTGCAAAACCGAGAAGAAATGAGAATACGTTAATTTATAAACATACGCTATATGGAGTGATTCAACAAGTCGAAGTCTATAATCTTTGTCTAATCTCTTCATACACATCTATGTAAAAAAAAATAAAAAAATAAATTATCATAGGATCTTCATTACAAATTAATGGAACAACCTTTAAAGCATATTTAAGCCAAAAATTCCACATACAATTAGATCATCAATAGCAATTTTTGAATCCGGGAAATCAACAATCACGTCGAATAATTCTGAAATCCTAATTGAGCAAGACAAAGATAAACGAGATTGCATCATAAATTAATCATTCGAGAATTATAATGAATTATACCTTGAGTCACAGAACACCATGCAAAAATGATAATTTAATCGTTTTGACCAAGTCACCAATTCATCTGCAAAAGTTTATTTTATATATAAATTTAAAAATCGGAATTCAAAAAAAAAAAAAAAAAATTCAATTTGACATTACCTTCAACAGATCCATGTGAAAGGTGAGAGTTACAGGATAATATAATTTGTAGCCAAGGATAGACCGTAGAATATAACCACTTTGTAGAACGTCTAAGCATAGGTTTATCAAAAGTTCTTTTACATGTATTCTGAATTTTTAATTCAATCTCCTCACATAATAATTCTTCTAAAACATCATTTGTACGTTTTATTAAATCCAATGAATGCATTTGTCTACATAAATTTGAAAAACCATCAAGATAAAGATTTAGATCCTCTAAAAATTTTTCCTCATCTTCTAGTGGTAGCGAGATATCGAGTTCATCAAAATCTACATCATCCAACTCCATTACCGAGAACGAATTATCTTCATTATCAAGATTATTTTCTCGTTTCGAAAATAATACATTGATATCATCTGTTGATTTCCAAGCGAAAAGAATGCTTTCAAACTTATCACTCTGTTGTTGATTCATACTAAGAAGCAATGATGATGATGATCCAGAAGAATTGGGAAGGTTATACTTCATAAAGTTATTATATTTACGAAAAAAGGAACAATAGAATATTTTGGTCATTTCTTTAAATAAGGATGGTATGGTAGAATTATGTTCTGATTTGTCATTTAATGATGAATATAATATGGTATAATATCGAATTCGAAATTCTTTCATAGATTCATCACTAAAGAAAAGGGAAAATAAGTTGAGAAACCTTGGAAAAAGAAAAGTGAAAACTCTATAAGAAAAAAAAATATTTAATCCAACCTTGCCGCCATAAGTAGTAATGGATGTTGACATTTGTTAAAATGAGAATAAATACTATTTATAAAATCCGTGTAAGATTTACATATCCAATCGTCAAATATTTGATCTTTATCGGAAGAATTAATATTCTCTTTTTGTAATTGCTATAGTTTTTAACACAAAAAATATCATATGGTCGAATTTTTCATTGAGCTGAAAAATAACTCTGAACAAAATTTCCAAGTAAAATTCCTTCAGTACATACTATCCACGCTTCACGCCATTGATGAAATTTCTTATCAAAACATTCTCTAAAATTTTGACAAATGGCATCTAAAAAAAAAAAAAAAAAAAAAAGGAAATTTAATGCAAAGTTTTAATTGAATACATGAATTAAAACTTGACGAAATTTACCGAGGTACCATTCAACCAAACGTTTAGCTAATGGAGTTTGTATAAGTTGTTGTAAATATTCTTTAACATCAGCAGGTACTATGATCAATAAGAATAAATTGAGCGAATTCTCGTAATGAAAATAACAATTAAAACATTGAATCTTTATTACTTTCTTGATCGATGTTATAAATGCTAGGGTTCAACCAGCCAGTGACCACCAACCAAGCCTGAACATAAAAAAAATAAATTTAATATCTTATTAAGACATTTTAACAAGGGATATATGAATAAATAGAAAAACCTTTGTCGATTGTATTAAACCTTCTAAACCTTTTTTATTTTGATTTAAGCTTAAAATTGCTTCATTCCACTGTTGTTCTAAAGACATTATACTCAAATTATCTCGAATAAGAGGTTTAAAAAAAATTTTTTTTCAAGGGTTACACTATTTCATCAAAAATGCATTATCGAACATCTCACATGATTTATACGAGTGCAGTTGCTTGATATGCATATGCAATGCGGCAGAGCCGAATATAAAAAAAAAAAAAAAACACCCAACGGAAATTTACAAACTCTAAAAAAAGCCAAATCTTATTAAAGAATGAAATTATATATATATCAGAATTAAATTATAATAAATAAATAAAATAATATTATATAATATATAATAAATAAAAATTTTTAAAAAGGAATTATTATATTTAATTTACATAAATATATTGTTTCTATTAAAAATAATTAAAATAATTAAATAAACCCAAAGCATAAATTGTGATTATAAATAGTGTACAAAAAAAAAAAAAAAAAAAAAAACAAAAAAAAGACAAGGTATGAGGGGTGTATTAAAATGTCAAAGAGAACCTTAGGGACGCGTTGATTTTGTATTTATTTACACAAAGATACATTACAAAATTGTAATGTTCTACATACCACTTTGTTAATTGACGAAATTAAACGTCAAAAAATTGGAAGGGAAACATCACACAAGATTACCAAAGGAATACTCTGCAAAGAACCCTACCTCACGCGAATGTCTGAGATGAGTAATATTCCTAAATATATCAAGTAAATAATGACGAAAATAAAGAAATGGATTAAATAGGTTAAGAAGGAAAGGTCGAAAAAGAGAAAGAAACCATAACAAGAAGGGATGCCTACTTAAAGATTGAAGTTTGTTTTTTGTGATACGCTTGCACATCATGCAATCGAAAATCATTTACTTATTGCTTATTAAGGTTATGAACAAGAAGTTTTGTCAAAGGTTGACATGAGTAAGTTGACATTGTGATAAGGAAATGGCAAAGTTGAACAGATGAATTGAAAGATATCAACGCGTCTAACTTGATTGAAGTGTTCAACATGTGAGAAATGGAAAGGCGAGCAGACAGCATCACGTGAGATGTCAAAATCGTTAACTCAATTGTTTTGGGGAACAGAACAATTAAGGTTTATCCTAATTGTTGAATGAAAAAAGAGTGGGAAGATTTTTTTAGTGGTGGTCGAGTTTCATTTTTGAGACCAATGACGATCCCCACGATGTTTTCATATGTAATATGATAATCAACTTATTCATAATCAGGAAAAAAATTTTTTTTTTTTTCATTTTTTCTGTTTATACAAACAAATAATTTGTCATATGGTCCAAAGTATGATCTGAATTAGGAAACGTTTTATTGGAAGATCCGTCGATCCACGGGAACTCGCGATTGCCCCGCGCTATGACCTTAAGAATTCTATTACTATGCATGTGGATTATCAGTTGATTGAAAGTCATATAGATCTGCAAAATCGTGGTGGGTTTGATTTTTCTGATATAACGACCCAATTAAGTGTTACACCACGTTACTATTCTTCATAGGAAGGCTCCCGTTATAAAATGATTATTTGTTGGTTACCTCAGTCGTATTTGATTCGGCAAAGGGTGGTAAAATATTTTTTTTTTTTCTTGGTAAATATACGAAATTATTACAAAATTATCAAAAAAGAAAATTAGGTAATTTGTCATACAACTTTTATAATTAATGATCAACGGTAATATATTGCTTATATTTTGTACATCATAATCAGAGATTTCAAAGAAAAAGATGGTATTGTTTTTACCGGAGTGTAATAGGATTTTGGTTAGTCAAAAATGAACATCCAATCCAAAAAAAAAAAAAAAAAAAATAGATAAATAGAGTAATTTTGCCAACTCTCACTTAACTGTTGGTGTCTTACACTCAACTCAACTCTTCAAATCATTTTTTTTTTTTCAGTTTTTTCTTATTAAATATAAAAAAAAAAAATTTATAAAAAAAATATCTATATATATTATTCTCGTATTTTTATTATTCTTATTTTATTTTATTATTTTTTTTTTTTTTATCATCTTTTTTCCGTACGTTAAAAGATTTATTATAGATATATATTATTTCGTTTTTTTTAAATTTTATTCGTTTTATTATTATTATTTTATTATATTATTTTTTTTTTTTTGTAAAGAAAAAAAAATAAAAAAAATAAAACTTACGCCATTAAGTACTTTACCTTCCACGAAATTTCTTGACGAAAATTTCCTTGCGTTTTTCTTCGTGGATTTTCCTTTAAATTTAATCAATAATCCGTTTATTTTTTTATATTACGTTATTCTCCTTTTTTTTTTTTTACCTGCGTTACATAAGAGTAATTTTACTTTTTCACGAATATAATATATTTTTTTTTTCTTTTAAAGAGATACAATCTTTTGATAAGACAACTATAATCAAAATTAATCGATTCGACGATTTTTAAATCTTCATTGGATCAAATCGTTTATTTTACCTTCCGATTTTAAATTTAAACCACTTAAAATGCAACCAACCAGCAACTCAACCGCCTCAACCTCCATCAAACCATACCTTCCTCCCATTAAATTTTTATTGGATTCACCCGTTGAAATGTTTAATGGTAAGCAAGCAATTTTTTATTTTTTATTTCCTCTTTTTTTTTTAAGGATTTGCGATTATAAATGGGATTTGGAGAAGGAGTTGGAATTTTTGGGGGTTTTCATAATTATTATTAGGGCGACAAAATAGGTTTAAATTAGTTTTTTTGTTGGTAAAATTGGTAAACAAGGCTGAAGATCTACTGCGAAACACAAGAGGAAGATCAACAAAAGGATTTTCGAGATAATTCGTACAAGCAAGGCAAAAAAAGTAGAGGATATTTTTTTTTTTTTTGATTCTCTACAAGATGATCTTTAGGAAAATCATTTTTGAAACCCAACAACATACACATGACAACTTGAAAATCTGCACAGGGAATCAGGTTTCGATTTAGGTTTTACACAGTATATTACTGCGGTGATTTTCTCAAGACCAAAGAAGGATCGGCGATCTATCATGTAATGCAAGTCATGCGCATCTCATGCGTGCGTGGCATCGTAGTATCTTTCATCACACTAAAAATGTAAACAATTTGATATGTGGGACTAATTTAGATCTTCCAATTTCTCTACGGGAATCTCCGATCATATTCCGATTCTTCCTATTTTCCTTAATCAAGGGGGGTGGGGAAAACACCAGAGAAAAAAGAAACCGACGACAAATTTTATATGTTTACAAGGAACACCTAATAATTAAAATGAGATTAAATTATCTGTTCCATTTCGTCATTAAATCATCATCATCATCATCATCAACAACAATAACAAGTAAAATCGGAAATTACGGAACTTTCCCCCGTTTTGTTATGCATTTGCAAAGCATTTTGGCGTTCAAAAAGTCATACAACAAACAAATCCACAAAATTATTGTTAATTAATAACATTTTGGTGAAAGCTCTTGTTTAGATAATAAAATAGATAAGCTTTTTGATAGGCCTGGAAAGAGGAAAAAAAAATTTTCACAGAGTACCAGATTTTTATACACTTTTCCCAAATTAATCTTATTTCCTTTTTTGTTTAATCTTAAAACTAATGTAGATCAACAAAGGATTCCAGTGGAACACCGATGTCCAAATTCTTATATGAATACTTCTTCACGCAAGCTTCCAACTTTGTCTTTGAATATCCCTTGTCCAAAAGTTCAACTCATTTCTCCAGTTGAAAGGAGCGTTGATAATAACATGTCCGGATATCATCATAAAGGAAATCAATATCAAAATAATTTACCAAGTCTCCCTTCTATTTCCGTTACAATTGGACAGATTGAACCTGCTTTGAATAATAACAGTAGGAACATTACATCAGTGCAAAAGCATTCTCGTCCTAATAGTATTCAATCCTTGATATTATCACCACCGGAATCTCCAGATATGGTCAATAATCCATCATTTGATGATTATGAACCTCGTCAGAATCACGAACAACATCGACAACAACAACATCGTCCTAGATTGGTGAATCCACCTCAACATCCCGAGTACCATTATTCTTCAAATGTGGTTTTGTTGACACCTCATTACCATTCTCAATCTTATGCACGCCCAGAACATCGTAGATACGATCGTGCTGGAGAATATCATCAGGGACGTGTGGTTTACGATCATGCTTATACAGAACAACAACGTGCATATCCATCTTCAAACATCTCCCCAACAACTCTTCAACCCGCATTTTCTCCATTTGAATCAAGACCAGCTACGACTCTTCCTCGTCTTGATGTCCCTTCTCCAGTGTTGAACAACGAAAATGTTATTACAAGAAGGTTGGGCACACCAAAGGTCATCAATGATCATCAAATAAATTTGCCCGTGGCTGGAGTAACCACTTCAAATACTAATAATAGATATCAATGTCCTTATTGCTCGAAGAGATTTTCTCGTCCAAGTTCTTTACGCATTCACACTTATTCACATACAGGAGAAAAACCTTTTGTATGTACAGAATCCGGATGTGGTAGAAAATTTTCTGTTCAAAGTAATATGCGTAGACATTTAAGAGTTCATCGATTAGGGAGACCTGTTAAGAAAGTTAGATATGATGGCGAAGTGGAAGGTGTTAAAATGTTGAATCATGGGCCTATTATGAGAAATTGTTAAAATAAGTTTGGCAAAACTAGATCCCTCCTAACTTATATTTCCAAATCAGTACCTGTAAAAAAAAAAATTTTTTTTTTTTCAATTGGAATTATTCAAAGTTGGGATTTTTTTACATAATTTGTAATGGTGGGAATCCTTTAAGGTCGCGTTTATACCTAGTGTATTTTTTTTTTTTTTTTAAAAAAAAAAAAAAAGGAAAAAAATCTGACGCGATTATCGAACTTTATTCTTTCGTATTTTTTCGGACTTTTTATTTAATTTCTTAATTTTGAAATTATCGTCTTCTCCCCTTTTTATTTATTCTTTGTGTTGGGAAAAATTAGTTTAACGGGAAAAATATTAATCGACATTCCTGTTTTTATTTTACTTAAATCAAGTCTTATAATAATGTCGTAAGAATATCTCGTATTCCTTACTTCCCGTGAATGAAATGTTTTTTTTTTTATTTCATCTTATTTTTTTCTTATCAAGATTGCAGTTAAGATATTTAGATGTGATAGATAATGGTCTCTCTTCGAGTGTAATGTTATAAAGGGAAAGAAAGATCAAAAAAAGAAAGAAAAAATTAATAATATTTTTCCCCACCTTTTTTCTTTTCTTTATATACACATTAATAATAGACGAGTTTATTTCACGAAATTTCTTTATTAGAATATACACAACGGTTTTTTTATATAGGAACTTTATAGATATTTTTCTCTTTTTCATAACACATTATCATAGTTTCATTCAATTTTTTTAATACATTTTAATCTTTAACATTAGTAAATAATTTTTCGCTTTTTTCATCAAAAAAAAAACCAAACACCAAAAAAAATCCTTTTATCCATCTCCTTCTCAACCTCATTATGTTTCACTTTTTCATTCTTACACATCTCACTAAATTTTATGTTCACACCACAATTTAATTTAATAAGTTTTTTTCCGAATTTCATCAGGATCATAGGATTTTTATTTACGCAACATTATGATTTAGGAGGAAAAAAAAAAATTTTTTTCTTTTTTTTTTTGGGCAAATTATTCTTTGAAATTGAATATTTTGGACTTTTTTTGATCTTTTTTTAAGTCCAATTGGTTTATTCAAAAAAAAAAAAAAAAAAATTTGATTCTTTTGCCGAAGAAAAAAAAAAAAAAAAGGATCTTTTTCTTTTTTCCTTATATTATTCGTAAAACATAACAAACAAAAAAAGATACCAAAATTTTTCATTTCATCTTATTTTTCCTTATCCTATTTCGCATTCTATTTTCGCATTTCTTTTCGCATTTCTTTTTTTCGCATTTCTTTACTATTTTTTTTTTTCGGCATTTTTCGGCATAATTCTTGAAATCTGGCATTTTTCTGAATTTTCGTACTTTATAAAATTGGCAACCTGATACAAACATAATTTATTTTCCTTTTTTAAATGTATTGAATGTTATTCCACGTGTTTCGTAAAAATTGCATTATATTACTACGGCATAAATCAAACGAATAATCTTACAATTTACTAATAATTTGCAAATCGATTTATATTGTAAAGAAATTGTGAACTATAAATAATCAATATTTAGATCAAAAAACACTTAAATATGTATGCATACAACTCAAAATTATTTAAAAATTAATCATTCCTCAAAAATGTTAGACACATTAGCTCCGAGCTCACTGAGTAAAGCTTATATCATATAAATAATGAAAGTAGCGAATTAATAGAAATTTATCAAAGGAACAGCCATCAATAATAATAATATTTACCAAACAATAACGAAAATTGATTCTCGGTGCCTCCCCATCTTCCAATAGCACTTTCTTGACGCGCTTCTTCTTCATTATACCTTAAAATCATTTCAAGATCCGAAAGATCATTTTCTTCTCCTTTAGGATACCAAAGTTTCACATCATAATCAATTCCAGATGTACATAAAATTGGATAATACGGATGTGGTTGAACGCAATTTACAACCTTCTGATATTAATTATAATACATTTAGTTAGTGATGGACCTAAACTTGGCAAGTTATAAATTAAGTATTTCTTACCGTATCACCATCTTTTAATAAATTGATAACTTTTCCTGTCAGTTTGTCCCATATGAATACACGACCGTCATCCGAACCAGACATAATATATTCGGATTTTGCTCCAAAGAAATATGCTTTTTTAATCTATTATCATTTTAAACTCAAAATAAGCAAAATGATTAAAATCAATAAAATAAACATTCTAAACGAACCATTGTTCTGGAATTTAAATGACCGGTGTAGGACATGGCTATATCTTCATCGTGCACTTCATCTATATCCTCTTCGTCGTCCTCATCGGAACTATACATGTAATCATCATAATCGTCGTCTTCGTCCTTGATATCATTCATTTTTTGTGTTACAGGCTGCCGGTTATCTTGATCACTCAAAACCTCCTCATCATAATTATCAACCTCTTTATTTTTTATAGTACTTTCAAACAAATATGATGTAGGAATGGTGTCTCTCTCTTCACATGAATTTTCTTCTTTTGCTTTCCCTTTACCAACTATATTTTTAATAGGGGACTCTCCTTCCACGTTATCGTCTGACGGCTTATTTTCAGGCTCTGATTCGTCACGTTCTTTCTTTCTCGATATCCTGACTGCTCCTTTTCTTGTCTTTCTTGGCTTATCAATTAGACCAGCTCCTGGCCTGATCAAATAAACTTTATCACTACTGTAACTAACACATAAATCACCACCACCATTTGGATCATATTTCAAACTAGTCATTCGATGATGATTCGACGATTCTTTATCCGGATTCTGCCGCATCGCATTAGGAAGAAATCGATAAACTTGACTATCTTGATGATAAGGAATATTTGAACCTGATGATGGTACTTTAATAAAACGCCGGTCATATATGCGTACAGTATCATCTCCACATGCAGCAGCCAAATAAATAGGATTATCTGGTCTGATTGACATAGCCGTGATGCCCACATCTCTATGTCGAAATGGAAAAAAATTTATCCTACTACGCTCTGATTGTTGTTCTGATTCGGATTCGCTTTGTGAACGAGCATCATCACTTTTATCATTAGGTTTGTCTCTGTTTTGCAAATCCCTCTTCTTTGGTTTACGCGTAGGATTCATGTCCAAAAATGTGTGACGCCTACAATTTTTATCGCAAGATTTACTAATGCGGAGATCGTATCTTTTTATTCGACCATCGTCTGCACAAGAGAAAAACACGTATGGATTATTTGGATCGGGTAAAACTTCAAACCTAATTTTTTAAAAGATAATTGTAGTTTCTTAATTTTATTATTTTTTTTTTTTCGGATAAAAAATTAATCCTCAATATAATTCAAGGAACTTACGTCATATTAGTGTGACATTGAAATGCTGGTGAAGGGTTCCAACTATTTGAAGGAGAATAAGCAATAAAATCGTTAAGATCCGTGAACCTGACGATTCCGTCAGCAGAACAAGAAACTATATGTCGATCATTTGTCTTTGGCATAAATTTGGCGGAAAAGATGTTTGCAGTATGACCAGATGGTACTGAATGGAGAAGAGGTTTTTCAGGTTTATCAAAAGGAGACCAAATATTAAGATTACAATCGTCTAGATAAGTAGAACAGGAATATATTAGTCTATCAAATTCTAATAAATTATTTATCATTTCACGTACGTGCCTGAGCCTGACAATATAAGACTGCCTGTTTCGTTCCATTCAACGGTATTTACACAACCGTCATGACCTACAAAACTCTCGGGTTTATTAAAACGCTTAACAACATATGGATCTGAATGGATAGCTTTTGTATATGGCCTCTGGTTTGGGTAAAATTCCCTCTGTACAAGAAGTTTATTTATATGAGAACGTGAATCGTGACCGAACCGGATCTTTTGGTATTCCATATTGACCACTTCATAAAAGCTCCTCCGTAATTTTGACGTTCGTTAAAGCAAGCTTTTAATTTATAATAAATAAATAAATATCGCTATCACTATTTGGACGATCATTTCTAAACTTGATTTTAAATTTTAGACTTGTCTGGAATTGTTATTGTGATGTCATATGGCCATTTCGCATAGCAGAATTAAAGAATTAAAAAAATCGGTTACCAAAGATGAATCGTTGAAAAAAAAAAAAAAAAGATTATCGCGGAAAAAAGTTTCATTGGTTTAACCCATCAACTATGCTGGCATTTTGGCTTGTTGGCTCGTTACTATTTTGGCAATGGCTTATGATTTTTCGTTATATATTGCATCATATCAGTTCACATAGTTTTAGTAGTCAACTCATAAAAAAGCGCGTTTATAAATTTATAATAAATCTAATTACTAAAATAATTATTATGGATAATGCATTTGATTGTTTATTATTATAAATTCTAATTCAAATGAAATCACTTATTTTATAATAATAACTTACTTAAATTATTATATTAATATAAATTACTATTATAAAATATATAAATTTAAATTTTCAAATTTTTTAATAATAATTAATATTAAAATATCATTTATATAGATTACATATAAATGAAATTATTATATAATAAATCAATAAAATTAAATAAGTATAAAGGTTTTTATTTTTAGTATATGATTCTTTTGAATTTTAACTATTAAACAAGTTATTCAAATAATAATTTTAAATAATTATTTATTACAAATTGATTTTTAGAATGTAATATGATGATTAATTGGAATTTGATAATAAATTAATATTTATTAAAAAATAATAAAATTAAAAAATACTAATAAGTTATTAAAGAAATAAAATAAAAAGTAAAAGAATTATTTAGACTATTTACTGTATCTTTAAACATTAAAAAAAATACTAAATTCTTTACTTTTATATAAGAATCTTATCTTTTATTATATAAAATTAACTATATAAATAATTAATTTATCTAATATATTATATATATACAGCCAACTCTTGTTATAACGAACTCTATGTCCTAGACCTCAACTTTACTATAAGGCTATAGTAAAGATTTTAAGAGATTTGATTGGCCAATTCACTATAACAAG